TTCTTAAAGAAGGGGCTATATTTTTCCCCAGGTAATGAAGGAAACGTTCTTAGTGATATTCTGGTGGAACTTGCCAAAATAACGTATAAATATCCAGAAGATACAAGTCGGGAGATGTAACTGGAAATAATCCCACGAATCCTAACACATCAAGAACCGATACACATATGCAAATTGGCTGGTATACGAAAAAAATTACAAAAGAATGATCAAATAGTTCTTCAGACTGATAAGGGAGGGGCGACGGTTGTAATTGATAAGAAGCAATACACGGAGAAAATGGAAAGTCAGCAAATACCATATTATTCAATGATGGTATCAATAATACCCAGGTAAACACGAGAAAGAAGATTGGGGAAGCTTAAACACGTAAATAATGTAACTCCAGTTGAATTTTTTCTACAATGAATTTGAGTAAGCATCATCCTTCCATTGAATTTCGAATAGCGTTGTTCACCCAGGACTGACTGCAGTTTCGGCCTTGCAAAGTATGATCATCACCTCCAGCGAGACGGGTAGGGTATATTCTAGATAAATTAGCAAACCACTAAACTAAAGTAGCAAAAATTAGGCAAACTACCTTGAGTTCCATTTGATCACTGTTCAGAAATGAATTTCAATAAAGCCTAGGTTGTTACCACATCAAATTTCTGTACTGAGGTTATCGACGTAGCAAATTCGTGAAGAAAAAAGGGTTTAGAAGAATTCCTTAGCGATTCAATGTAACATAAATGGGTTTCGTGAAACGGTATTACCGGAAACCAAAGGAGGATTGCCGCGGAGTAAATACTGCGGGATTGTGCAAAGAAGTCCCCAGCTCACTGTCCTACGGTCCTGATAAAAATGTACTAAGCTTGCGTATCATGTGACGGACATCGTAAGAACGAGAACCCATACTTTAAGAAAAAACGCATCAGATACAATAAGCCAAGAAAGCAAGGGTGGCTTCGAGCAATCACACTTATTTTTTACACTTAACTTTGCGATCCCAATGAAATATCCCATGATTTCGTTGTCTATTTCATGCCTAACATACATTATAATAAATATGGCAGGTTGATGCACAATCTAACAATCTTCACTCTACGTTAATCCTTCGTTTTACGAGGAGAGCATTTCACGAATCCCTTCTAACCAACTTTTCCTTCAAAATGGAAATCCATGCCACAGTGAAGCCACTCTACTTACATAAGAAAAACATTGAAGCAAAGTTGTCCAATCAATGATGGTTCTAACTTCATTCAATCGACAGCAATCAACTACATTATGTAATTTCAGTAGATCTGATAGAAGAACTGTCGTCTCATATCAGTGGGAAAATTTAACTACAAGTCCATCATCATTTTAAATGAAATAGGGTGAATGCAGCTCTTATATCAGATCAAATAGTTGCCTCGAGAACTTGCTTATAAACTGAAGATATACTAACTCCATCCAGGATTACTGAGCTAGTCAGTTGCCGAGCTGACGGAAAACAAGGTCCGAAGGTAATGCGTAGAAAATTTGTTAGACTGCGTCTTGGGGAGATTGGTATGGCGATTCCGCTGACGATTCTTAATAGCGAGGGGTAAATTAGGTATGTTTTATATTATGTCAAACCATCTTAATTCATTAACTACGTGAGGTAAATTTTAAATCAACCAACAAGAATGATATACTTATGAGCTGGTCGGTAAGCATAAAGCTTGATAGTCGTGATAACTTGATCAAATTATGATCACATTTTCGCAGATTAAACCAGCAGCAAGAAAAAATTAATATTAACTTGACCGATTGTGACTTTATAAATGTTTTTACTATCATTACTCAATCGCACGACTGCTTAGGCCACTACATTGGACTATGAAAATAATCGAAATTGAAAAGGAACTAAATGCAAATAAGGAAATCAATATCACCTAATAAATATACAACCATGAGATAATTGCTTCTCCGAAGCCAAAAGTTAATAGAAGTGGTTTAGCTAGCATATCAAGGCTTTCTTGTTTTAGATAAAGTAATGGTTAAGATAAGAAAGTCTTACAACTATTACAATCAGCCGTTATCGAATTTAATATAAAAATGAATTCTGCTTCTTTCGAATAATACGTGAATTCTAAATTTGCATATATGAATGAGCATATCTATGCGCGAGCACCTGTGTGTATATGTGCGTGCATGCGTGTGTGAAGATATGAAAATAGCAAATAACCTGAGTAAAACTCGAAAAGGTTATATAATGGCATTTTAGCGATAAAACAAAATCTCGATAAAGACAGGCTTTCAGTCATGAGTGACAATGCAAGAATAGATATAGCAGGACGCATTGATAAGTCAGCATAGCTCTAAGACTCCCTGTGATCTAAAATAAGCGAGTCGGTAAACAGCTTGATTAAAATAAGGTAAAAGAGATAAAAAGACAGTTATGGAGGGATCCAAGCATATATGCCTGAGAAAGGCGAATGCAGTGATACTGAAACAAGAAAGATATCTCTTTGTTTGAAACAGATACAAGATATGCAGCTCTTTCAACTTTACTGAGAGTGGAGTGAAGCATTTATCCCATGCCGGCGAAGGGACATTGATTTTCGACGCTTTAACCAGTTGTCGAACCAAGAAAATCTCTGTAAAAGGGCGAAGAAGATGTTGCCCGGCGTCCACTGATGTTCCTCAATCATAGCTTCCATAGCCTCTCGAACCTAACCGATAACGGAAAAGACAAAGAAAGGTCACCAGTAAGGAAGTGATAATGTTAATATATACGTAAAGAAAAATTGGGTTTCGAGGAGTGTCTTGTTTCATAATTGCTGAGTTTATCTATATTTCGAGTGAAGGTGTTTGATGAAGAGATTCGAGTGCCGATCTCACGAGAAGACGACGGCGGATTCCCCTTGAACAGCACGAAAAGGCCTTTAGAGGCTGTTGGTTGCAAAAATCAAGGCTAGCTGAGCACAGGGTAGAAATTGGACATGAGAATGGCATCGCTAAGAAATATATATACATTTAGAGGGGGTTATGGTGGATATCAAACCTGGGTGGCCAAGAACAGGCGCAACATTTTCTGTTCTGATTACTTTGAGTCATCACTGCTGGTTTCTTACATATACGAAAACGTGTTGGGACACATATGCACTCATATACTTCTAGGCTGACATATGACTTAAACTAACCAAATCACTCTGTATCTCATGAAGGAGCATATACACAACATTTAGAGATGAGCCTGAGTTCAATTGAGTCGTTAGCTTAAATATGGTTGCAAGGATGATACGCTGCAGTGATGATATCCGTCATACAACGGATGAAAGCTTAACACGTTTTCACTGGAATTAAAGCGGATTGTCTAGGAAACAGCGTCAACAAAAATGTTCAGGTGAAGCCAATCGACAGCTGGTCTAGAGGGATCCGCTGTCGTCGTCTGGTGAGACCGACCTTCGAATCTCTTAACCAAACAATTTTACTTGAACTGAAAGTAAGCTCAACAATAATTTTAATAATTTGATACTAAATGCTCCTATGCACCAAGGGATGATGAAATCTCCATGATGAAATTTCATATAAAGCAAGCCTCATTCATCCAAAGTGGGGAGGTGTGAATAAACGAATACATTTTTCAATCAAATATACTTACAATGTTATGCAATAATACTGAGGTTAAAAGTATCCGCATGTCTAATGCAGAAGTAAAGTTCCATCGATGAAATAAATCGAGAAAATGCTTTTTAAGTACACGCATTGTAGACAACATTTTTTAACAGTTTTGGCATATATATTTTCCGAAATGGGCCAGATTGACACTAGAAGAAAGATCGAAGAAAGTTCACGAGCAAAATGTCCTCTGGCTTCGATTTAAGAATGGCTGCAAAATGTTCTTACTATTTAATTAAATTAGTCTTTTATGCGAACCTGCCAGATTTATTGTAAGATAAGAATTCAATAACCAGAAGCTTATCTTTGAGAAAATATTTTATAAATATAAATATAACTCCTATAACACGATTTAAAGAAGCGAAAAATCGAGATTCTTATGATTTTAAATAGTTTAAACAATGAATTAAGTAGTAATCGACTGTTTAGTTGTTAAAGCCATCTGATAATATAGTATGGCCACAAATAAGATGGGATATGGCACAAATATACTGATGAATTATGGAAATGCCATAAGAGCAAATAAGCCTATCTGCACACCATGATTGAAGGAGCTTGTGAGAGGAAACTAGGGGTGGGAATATATAATTTAAGAGTAGAATAAATCATTGGATAAATAACTGCATAAAATTAACGTAAAAAAGTAGTGATGTAAAAATTGTCATGAGCAAAAGCCATACAATTGCGTAAAAAACAAATGAACAAGCAAATATATTCGAAATAAATTTTGCGACTTAAACCGAGATAGATGATCAAAATTAGCCAACAACTGTAATAGTAAAATGATTGAAAGAGCTTAAATAAAATACAAAGTGAGTATGATTCAGGTAACTGAGTACACCTCAGACGAGATACAGAGAATTAAAGTTTATCAGAACTAGCAAGAAAATCGAGAGATTCGAGTCTAGAGACACACATGGGGTAAAGGAAAGGAGATGAAGCGCGTATCCGGGTCTTAATATCAAGTCCAAATCAGCTAGTCTTTCAGAAACCAAACAAGAAAGTGTCGAGAGAAGAGGAAAGTACAACAAACACTCATATGATGGTGTGCAGAAGAGAGAAACGGGATGCGGTAAGCTTGAGTCAGTAAACCAAAAATCGGTATTTGATTTATAAATATGGGAAGAGGGTCTTCAAATAAATTCTTAGAGCGAGATAAGGCATATGAGCAGTCCGGAAAAAAGAACTTTGAATCGCGAAGTAATAAGCGCGAATTTCAGAAAAAAATGATAGAAGAAAAAAGGAAATTGAAAGAGCAAAACAAGAATGAAAAGATTTAAAGTAGATGAAAAGTGAATAAAAAGCGAGATGTAGGAACCATCCCATTGATTGCAGTTGAGAAGTAAAACCCTCTAAAAGTTATTTAAATCGCATCAAATAAATAAACATAAATGAGATCGATAAAGCCAGAAGAAATCATATCGTGTATTTAAAAAAAGTATAAAGGTAGGAGACTGCAAGCATACAAAAGGCCACACCATCCTGGTCTTCTCACCTTCGATTAAGGGTATGGTAAGTTGAGAGATTTAGGCGAACGAGATGGCACAATATTCGAAATGTTCTCTAGGCTCTTAATTTAAATTTATGTCAAAATCAAATAATTTAGAGACAATTAGGCTGCTAGCTCATTGGTTATATGGACGAGTAAGAACATATGGGCCTGTAAATGCAGGAGACATTTAACCAAAAACACGATACGCTTCTCAGCAATTAAATGGAAAGATTACGGAACATATCAGACTTTCAAGGGAAAGACATTCTTATCAGCGAATTTGTCTGAGTGAATATTTATTTAAAAATTATTAGTGAAATACCGAATCATAAATTAAACTGGGAAAACCTATGTACAAAAAGTAAATTGGAAATGCTTCGAAGACGAATTTGTATTGGATAAGTAGTTTTTAAGGTACTGTTACACGGTAAGGTTTATAAGTAAACACAGAGCTTGTTTATGGGATCTTGCTCAGTCCATATTTTAGATAATAACTACATGGCGCAATCAGAAGTTGGTGTTTTTTGACAGGCACTCCTATTTACAAAGTTATTAGTTCGTTATATGGGCGATTACTTTGCTGTTTGGCAACA